CTGGTGAATTAAATATGCTGTGACAGAAGGGCCAGTCAGGATGCGGCCGAAGCTTCTAACCTGGGCTAAAGGAAGAGCAAAGCTGCCATTAACGTGTGGGAAGCTCTGCAGGCGGAGAACGGGTTCCGGGGAAAGAAAAGCTACGTTTGGAATAGCTGGATTTGGGTGCCTATTGACAAACAAAGGGAAGCTTTTGGACACTGAAGTCTGCATGTGGGTCAAGACCTAGAAGACGGATTAAAATCTAAGACTGTCAGTATGGATTTGTTCTTCCTTTCCACCTTTTCTTTATAATGTGGATAATGACAGGAAAAGTCAAAAGAGCCCGCTTGTGTTGTTACCAGTGTCATGTGCAAGTCTATTTCATTTAATGACGGCAATTTTTGACACCTACCTGAAGAAGCAAATCCTTTAAATATTCCTTTTTTAGAGATGTAGAAACTGATGCATTTAGAACAGAATCTCAGAATGTCTTCTCATTCTTTTTATTCTAGCATCTACTGAGTGTTTAACAAACCATTGGTACTTAATACATACTTATTGAAGAAATGAATGGATGATGATATCAGTTGTGGTAGAAATGGATAATCCCATCTTTATGGTATGGTCCACAGCAGACTGCCAGAGCATGGAAAGGACAGGCCCAGGGCTCAGGAATGTGTAATGCTTCCCACAGACCCTTTAGGGGAGCCCATTCTCATGAGGACCAGTCACATCTCCATTCCATCAATCCACTCTTACAAGGCCCTTTTGCTGTTTCTTCTCAAAGCACATCCTGTTTCCTAACCTATGTCCTCTCAAGCCAACCCAAATGAAGCCCAGGACTGCAGAGCCTTCTCAGCCTTGAGTATGGAAGGAGCTTGGTACTGGGAGCTAGACAGAAGAGGCTAGCTGAAACTCACTTTAGGTGCCTCTTTGGATGAGGAAACTGAGGATCAGAAAGGGAGGCATCTTGGCCCAGGTCAGTGGGATAGGGCAGGGTGATCTCAGAGCAAGGCCACTTTTGTAGGCAAGGCTTAGACATAGGCATTACGTGAATGCAGGCCGGTATCATGACGGTGGTAGGGACAGCTCAACCCTGTTTCCCTCTGCCAGGACACCCTGAACAGGGAGGGGTATCACCGCTGAATGACAGAATGAGGACCAGCTGACTCACAAGAAAACAACCACCTTCCCAAGCCTCAACAATATGCCTTTCATTTAATCAAAGTGCCTTTGGAGGTGAGGGGTGATTGGACCATATCACTGATAGGAAATTGGACCATATCACTGATAGGTTTTAAGAGTTTAACAATTTGCACAAGCTACTAAGTGTCAGAATTGAGGACTCAAATGTAGGCCTCACTGACTCAAATCACATGCTCTATCCTGTCCACAAAGGGTCCATTCAAACCTCCAGTCTCATGCCCTCCAGGATGAATCTTCTCCCGCCTCACCATTCAGGCCTCAGTGTGGATGGTGACTTCTGAGTTGCCTATGCCCCGCCCATGTCTGTAATGCCCCCTTTTACAAATCTTCATAGCTTCATCAGCATCCCTTAGTCTCCTTCATTATACATCCCTCTAGTGGCTCCTACCACTGGGTACTTTGTCTTGCACCAGAGTGACCTATAGAGTCATAGATATTTGTTGGCTGGCTAATCAATGAACGAGGTAATGAATGAGTGGGACAGTTCTTAGCTTTAAAAGCTAGACAGAAGAATGAGATTTTTAGGTGTTTTCCTTAGTAAAGTGTCTCTGCCTGTCAACACTGTGGGATCAGTATCGCAGGGACCCTCTGTTCTCCTCAGAACAAAACCCTGTCCTGTGCTGACAAAAGAGAGCCCAGATTGGGCTGAACCAGGCTGTTCTTGAACAAACTTGCCCAACACAGCCCCAGAAAAGTCCCCAGAAGTGGGCAGTCCTCCTACTTGCTCCCCAGAATGCAACCTGCAGAGACAAACAGCCCAGGGTGACCTGGATCCACCCTGCGGGGAAGTGTGGGAAAGCCAGCTCAAGCCTGGCAGGTGGGGCCAGCAGGCCGGCATTGTTTGCCTCGGTGTACAGCAACAAAAACCACACAGCCAGCACTTCTCAGAGGCACCCTGCCCCCCTTCATTTTAATCTCCCAAACTGACTTGTCAGCAGCAGGAAGTGACATGACAGCTTTCCTCACAAAAGGGAAACTCCTCCGCGTTACCATGGGGATGGAGGCCACAGTGGGATCACAGATTTATATAATCTTAAAGGTGTAGGCACCATGATGTCATCCTGGATGGCCAGGAGGAGGAAAATGGATGCCAGAGGCTGAGTGCAGAGCAAATGAGCTGGGATTTGCAAAGTTCCCAGGAAAGGAGAGGAGGCCGTGGAGGTGGTGGGGACTGAAGTCTGCTGTGATGGATGTCTGGAAACGACAGGAAAGCACAGAGCATGGCTCCCATCCCTCTTCCACAGCCCAGAATTAGAGAGCTGGGAGAAAGCCGGCCCTTTAGATCCACTACAAACTGATCATTTTATGGGGTGGGAAAACCAGCCATCATTGGGGGCAAGGGGCTTTAACAGTCCCTCCAGGACCCTCGCCCCACAGGCTAGCCACTTTTCTTTCATGGCTTGGAGCTTTGATTGTCTTCATTGTACAGATCAGGATCCCCTGGGCCTTAAATGACAGAGCTTTGCCACCCAAAAATTATAGGGTAAAACTATGGTGAACTCAGATGACTACAAAACTCCTGTGTCCCAGCATCATCAAGCTGTCTTGCACCGGTCTTCATTGAGATCTGGTCTCCAACCTCTGCAAGACCACTTACTTGTTACAGGATCTTGGCCATGCTGCCCCACCTCCTCTGTGAAACAGATGTAATGTTAAAGGATGTGAACACATGAAGCGCTTAGCAGACCCTGGAACCAGGTAGCAGCCTTAAAACTGACAGCTGTCCCTAACACGTTATCAGCCTTAAATGATTAAGTTGTCTCTGTGTCAGTTATTCCTGGGAAACAAAAATTTTAATAGCTTCTTTTCATCATGAGATACTGATTTTGTCCCAACTTCTCCAGGCCAAGTGTGATGCTTTCTGGAGGGCCTGAGCGTAGTAGCAAAGGTGACTTGCGGAGAGGGGTCATTTCTGGCACAGGCTATTCGAGGTGAGTGGATAGAACTGGAAGTGAATGAATTGTTTTCACTGGCGACTCCCTGAGGCAGCCTCTGTATTTTTCCATTGAGTAGATCACACTGGAGATTAATTTGGGCTCAGCTAATGACTGCCAAGCTGAATGCAAAGGCCCAAGCCTACAGGGAAGGCAGTCCCCGCGTCTGCCATGGAATCACCACCACTGGTACATTTCCACAAAGGGAACAATTCCCAGCAGTAAACTTCAAGAGTTTGATTAAAAAACACTGGGTCTGGTTTGTTTTGAAAAGCTCGGATACACTTGTCATTGCTGGAAACCCAGCCAAGGAAGTGAGCTTGCCAGTCCGGGATGAGCTTTGACATCGTAGAAAGAACGCAGGGATCTTTCAGACCCGAGAGTCGACTGGCAAGTGTGGAGAGGTCAAGGGCAGATCCTGTCACAGCCTTAACAATAGGGCTGAGTGAGGACCAGCACAGGGGACAACTCTAGAAAAGATGAGTGTGATGTTTCCTTGACCACTTCCCACAGCATTTTAGCTAGAAAAAAAGTGGGTGGGGGGGGGGACGGACTGACACCCAGGGGCTAATAACCCAAAGGCTTTGCTGTTAGTTCATTCAACATTATAGACTGGATTATGGGTTGGTAGTCAATTACACCTTCTCTGCCTTAGCCTTGTTGGCAAGAGTGAAAATTCAGTCCTGCCCTGCAGCAAGTCTGACTTAATTGCCTATCTCTTCAACAGTTATGAAGAGTAGCAGGTGACCTGAAGGACAGTTGTCAAAATGCTGTGTTTAGAGGTTGGTGTGGACGGCTTCTGAAAGCTGATGGGGAAAGGGGCACTGTAGGTGATTTTTCTACAGTGTATTTGTTCATAGTGCTTGGGTTTCTTTTTCCCATTTGATGCATTGTTGTCATAGAAATAAAGTCCTTGTCCAAGGCAAAAAGATTACTCTCAAGATAATGAGAGTGGTACAGTGCAAAGGTCACAGATAGCAAATAAAATATAAGTCCCAATTCCCTGCTCCAGTGGCTCAGCTATGCTGGGTTTCAGTATTTTCTTTTCTTTTCTTTTCTTTTTTTTTTTTTTTTTTGATAGGGTGGGGGTTTATTTACAGAGGATTAGGTGCCCCCATTTACTGCTGCACTGGAAAGTCCACAGTCAAATATAGATTCAGTGACTTCCTGACAGTCACAGAAAATGGTGAGAGGTGCCTCCTGGCATTCTTGGCTTATATGTCCTTAGCCCCTCCCCCACATGAAGCTAAAGTCATCTGAGTAGGCGGGGTAACCGAGTTCCCTCTCCTTGACGAGCATGGGAAGGAGGTGTGACTATAGCTTGCGCTGGCCTTGAACTCACTATGTAGATCAGGCTGGCCTTGAACTCACAGTGATCCGCCTGCCTCTGCCTCCCGAGTGCTGGGATTAAAGGCGTGCGCCACCACACCCAGCCAGGTCTTAGTATTTTCATCTGTAGAACACCTGGATTTTTCTGAGTGTACACTACCCCCATGCTGTGCATACTGTGAAAATGCAAAGCCAGATGGTTCTGCAAACAGCTCAAGGAGGGGAAGACTTTGTGTGTCATCTCAAAGAAGAGATTAATGAAAACAAGCAATGCAGGCAAATGACTCTGGAGACTCATGGACTCCCTGGGTGACACTGTACCTTATGTGGTGCTGAAGGACACAGGTGAGCACCTTGATCCTATGCTAAGATCTCAGTGACAGCACCTAGCACTTCACAGACCTCACCTGGCAGCCTCCCTTTGCAACCCAATCATCCTGTGGGACCCAGGGGCCACCAAGGGGCCAGGATCAGATCCCACATATTTCCTGGCAGTACTGGTCCAAGTGCTTCTCTATGAGGTTGCCAAAGAAACAAAGCTTTGAGGGCTCAATAGAAATGCCATAATTTATTCTGTTGTGTAAAAAAACGTCATCCTAGTAACAAAATGTCTTCTTAGAAGAAGAAATATATTATTTCAGGTCATAAATAATCAGCAAACATACAACTGTTGGCAACTAAAAAAACAAACCAACACTGGTGTTTTTCCCATCAGTGCTGACAACAAACCTGCTCAGGGTCTATTTACAAGATAGTACAGTACTCAAACACAAAATTGAGGTATTTGGTTCTTCTACAAGTAGACACTGACATTTGTGAAGGCAGACTGCCTACACAAAAATAAATAACGTAAATTCTCATACATGTATGTCGTCGGGAATGGTAATACTGGTAGGTATGTCAAGCATGAAGTTTCTAGAAAAAAATGGGAGCAAGTGAAGAAACTGGCTCCAACAGAGTCCTTTCTCTTCTGCCCTGTTTTGTCAGAGGGACTTGATGTACCCACAATATATTGGTCCCAAATGTGCTGAGTTCAGCAAACATCTTGCCGTTGCATCATCATTATGACTGCTTAGGAACCCAGTGGAACTCAGGAGAAATTAAATAAATAAGGACCAGCCCTCGTGAGCCCCTCCCGGAGTTATTGCGTGGCTCCTCCTAAGGAGGAGTGGCATCCCAGTGGCACATGAAGGTTCTCACCTCCCTTGGCCCTTTAGCAGCTGGGAGAGGTTGTGATGGGGCTCTGAAGGTAGCTCAGGGCACTGTTCGTGGGGTGGACAGGGATGGAGACGGGGAAGTTGAAGACAGTAGTGGTGGAGGTGCCTCGGTCGAGCACTGCCATGGCAGGGCTCCCAGCCTCAGCTGAGCAGTGTGGAGCCAGCACCTGGGACTCGAACTGCAGCAGCTGGCCCATGAAGCTGAAGTTGGGGGAGATGATGCTCCTCCTCTGCTTCACAAACTCAAAGGCCTCATCCAGCTTCACTCGGTTAGTCCTCATGAGGTAAGCAAGACAGATGGTGGCTGACCGGGAGATGCCAGCCTGGCAGTGGACAAATACTCTTCCTCCAGCATTCTTGATGGAGTCTGAAAAATAAAGTGACTGGTCACTCAAGAGCTCAGAAGAACAGCCAAGCCCAGGTGTCAGTGTATGACCTCTCCAGAGATGGACAATGTCAGCCTCATGCTTTCATATGGACACTGTTTATAGACTTATGGGGCACTGTACAAAGGACAGCAAGGGATTTAAACCCAGACTGGGTATTTCCACTTAGCAGACTGATCTGGAACAAGTCAATCAATTTGACTACCTGAGCCTCAGTTTGCAACTCTGTAAAATGAGGAAGGCTCATATGAGGATCACTCAGACCATCACCATAAAGGCTGGACTTAGTTGAAATGGGGACAGAAGTCAGAAGTTCCAGGCAGCTATTCCATTTACCTATGAAGTCGATCGCCTCATTGAACCAGGAGCTGATGTCCGCCTTGTGGTTGTCTTCCACGGGGATACTCTTGTATTGGTAGTGACCCTCGAAGTGGTTAGGACAATTGGCTGAGACGTTGATCAAGGCAGTGATACCCAAGGCGTCCAACATGTCCTTTCGGGAAGCATGATAGGCACTGCCCAGGTACAGAAAGGGCAGGATCTCCACCGGGCCACCCTGCAATCCAGAAAAGTCCCGACACTCGTCAATCTTGTTCAGTTAACACCAGCACCCATGCCCTCAAAAACTCCCTGCTGAAAAGTGAGTTTCAGATATGAGGTGACCATCTAAGCACTGCTGATGGCATATAAAAAATAAAAATAGGGGTCTAAGCCCATTGGCCTGGGCAGAGCCAACAAACTCATGTCTGCCAGCATCTGAGAGTGACTCGGCTCCATACAACTGTTTCATTGTGGCATAAACAAGATCCCTATGTCCGCTCGAGTATAAATAAAGCTGCATCCACTCTGTATTCTCCCTGGCACAGCCCTTCCAGCCGTCTACCAGCTCTTCTCCCACCCCTCTGGCACGGACCGGACCGGATCAGGTCCCTACTAACCTGATCGTAGAGAGGAGTGCTGCAGGAACTGCACCCAGATTCTGCGCTGTCAGGAACACGAGTACTCAGGGGAAGGCTGAGCCCCATGGGGGTCAACTGTTTGCTGCACAGCTCTGGGCAGGAAGCCGAAAAAGCCTCATATCCTCCTGAGAATACAAAGGCACGGGGTTTGTTTTTGTTTTGTTTTGCCCCATTAGCACCACCGAGACACAGCACCTTCGCCCACCCACCAGGGGCTGCGAGTTTACACGGGAGGCTCAAGCAAGTCTTTGTTCCTGGAGCCAAACAAAGCCAATGACAGGTCCCTAGAGACTGGACGCAGGAGCCTGCGCGCTCCAGGTGGGACACCCCTCCCCGGTGGATGGCCAGAGGTTCCCCCCATCCCCGCAGAGCGCCTGCGGTCAGCTCCAGCGCCTACCTTTGAGGAAGAAGACTTGGGTGGTGCGCGCCTCTCGGCAGAGCGCTCCAGCGGCCAGGGCCAGAGTGCCATCGCGCTTGGCGCCGTCCAGGGAGGCGCTGCGCTCATCCAGCAGCACCACAGCGTGGTAGGCTCCCGCCAGCAGGCGGCCGCGCAGCTCAGCGTTGGGCACGATGTGCTCCAGGCCCATGGCGCCCTTGGCCCGGCGCCGCACGATGGTACTGAAGCGCACGTTGACCGAGCCCGCAATGTGGCCCGCGTTGAAGGCGAAGAAGGAACGGCAGTCTAGCAGTAGGCACTGCGCCCCACGCTCCCGCAGCAGCGCGCGCAGGCCCCCGGCGTCCAGGATGCCCACCTCCATGACCATGGCCGTCCGCAGCGCCCCCAGCGTGCCTGTCCCACGGCCGCTTTGTCTGTGATTCGGAGCCTCGGAAGGGCCCTCTAGGAAGATCTGCCCCGGCTGTGTGTCCCGGGCTGGAGCTGTACCTCGCGGGTGTCCTCGCCTGGCTGCTCCCGAGCCCGCCCCAGCTACGCGCCACCAGCAGGACAATCCAGAGCTGCGTGCTCTGCCCGCGCCGCCCGATTATATGCGGCCTCTTGGGGGCGGACCCGGGCGAGGCGCGCGGGGGGGTGCGGGGGGGGATGGCGGGGAGGGGGAACGGTTTGTTTGTTTGAATGGCGGTCACGTGACGGTGCGGTGACGTCACCCGTCCTACCGGGTTCGGCGCCGGCGAAGCCAAAAGCAAAGACGTCATCGGCCTCGGAGCGGGGTCGGCTCTCCGAGCTGGCTCGCGTCCCGGCCCCCGCCCTGGTGGCCGGCTGCTCCTGGCACGTCTCCCGGGTCCGGGGCCCGCGGGCAGCTCGGCTCGATGCCAGCGCGAGTGACCGGGACTCGCGGCCCGAGGACACGCCCGGGGTCCCTGTCCTACTCACTCCGCTCCGGGAGCGGAGCAGCCAGAGCTCCCGGCAAAGCACCCAAGCCCGGTGGGATCCCAAGGACCTCAGTGTCACCGCTACTGCTGGGGTCCGGGCCGGAGAGCGGGGCCCGAGGCCAGGGGACGAGAGGGATGGGTACTGTCCGTAGTCCTGTCACTCTTGTCCAGGACAAGCTGAGTCCAGGAGACGTCCTTCGCTAATGTCACTTGAAACACTTTTATAGGGAACAAGGAAAATACCTCCTAATTGACCCCCCCCCACACACACACACTAGAAATTGCTCCTACCCCTGTGGTCTCCAGAGGATTCGGGGCAAGCGAAGCGGGTGGCAAGAAAGGGTGTGGACCCCGGGTTTGATATGGCGGGACACCCCGGGCAGCCAGCAGGGCTCGACAGCGCCCCCCGGGGACCGGTAGGCGCGCTGTCACTTGTCTCCAAACAGCTTCTTCATCTTTCTTTTTGTTTTTTGGATTTTTTTTGAAACGGTCTCCCTGTGTCCCGGGCTGGGCTGGAAGTCGCTTATGTAGCCCAGGCTGCCCTAGATCTCACGGAGATCTGCCTACCCCTGCTTCTGCCTCGTTAGTGCTGGGATTAAAGGCGTGCGCCATTAACCTTAACTGAGCGCCCGGGGGTTGGGGGCGGCTCAGGCCTGGGGCTCCAATCCGCCCGAAAGCAGGCTCCACCGCAGCGGTTCCTTGGTTCATCCTCCCAGGAGGTCCAATCTCGCGGCACCTTAGGCGGATTGCCAAACCTGACCTTGACACGGGAGAAGACCCCACCCCAAGCCCCAGGACCTCCCAGTAGGCCTCAGCGCCAGCGCCACAACACCCCCTAGCTGGATACACAAACAAACATTACACCACTCCACAAGGGCCGAGTCAGGAACATTCTGCGGTTTCTTTCCTTCTTTGGGGGAGGGGTCCTTGCCCTTGCAGACTGTATTACCGGAGGCAGCTTCTGTGTTTGCCTCCCCTAGCCTCTCGCGGTGTCCACGGATTCTTCTATACGTTAAGGATACTGACCTTTTTTTTAAGAGCGTTTTTAACCTTCCTTTGAACAGAGATCTAAAAGAAGAACAAAGAAATCTGATAACATCACCCTCTCTGCATCCCAAAAGAGAGCCAAAAAGAAGAAAAAATTGTTTATTGTACCTTTTCAGCTGAGGACCTTCAACATGTTTTTTGTGTTGAATCATAGAATGTTACAGCTGCTGTCCTTTCAAACTGCATACCAACTTAATTTGTCCCATTTTCTTTTTTTGTGAAAGCATTCATTATGCCTTTCTCTACCCAGACTTCAAAAAGCCTTTTTAAAAAAAAATTTTTTTTTTAAATTTTATGTGTATGCATGTATTGCCTGCATGTAGGTAAGTGCACCTGTGTCATGCAATGCCAGCGCTGGTCAGAAGAGGATGTCACATCCCCTGGGACTGGAGTTACAGACAGTTGTTAGCGGCCATGTGGGTGCTGGGATTCGAACCCAGGTCTTCTGCAAGAACAACCAGTGTTCTTAACCACTGAGCCATCTCTCCACCCCCCAAAAGCCTTTTATTTACAAATATCATAGGAGTGTGGTAACCTGACACTGAAGTCTGGTCTCTACTGCCTCCATAGGGTTTTGCTCCCCTCCCTTTCTGGAACCCCAAAACCATCTGACTGGTGGGACTGGCCTTTCTTCCTCTGTTGAGTCTTCAAAGCTGCATGTGTACAATGGCTGCTATACAGCTTGACTTGGTGGCATTTCTCCTGTGAGGCTGGAGGGGCCAGACACACAGACCCTGACCCTTCTATGAGTCACCCACAATCAGTGTTTCCCTTCCTAGAAGTGATTCTTTTTTTAAAAAAAATATTTTATTTATTATTTTTTATTTTATGTGTGAGTATATTGCTTGCATGTATATAAGTGTACCTGTGTCGTGCAGTGCCCATGAAGGTCAGAAGGGGGCGTCAGATTCCCCTGGGACTGGAATTACAGACAATTGTCAGCCACCATGTGGGTGCTAGAAATTGAACCTGGGTTCTCTGCAAGAGCAGCCAGTGCTCTTAACCGCCTAGCCATTACCCCAGCCTAGTGATTCTTATATTATGAGGTTGTTGTCCTGTGTTTCAGAGTCTGGCATCTCTCCTTAGACGGTCACTCCAGGCAGGGACTTGTGAGTCACCTATAAGCATGAGTGGCTCAGCTGAGGGAAAGCCATTTCATGTAACACCTGTCACAAAGTGCTTGGTCTATGGGCTACCTGCTCAGAGACAGTTTGTAAAGATTTAGCCATCCCAGGCCCCAATCCAGTCAGAGAGAAGGCCCTGGTGACTGGGGAAAGAACCAGAGAGGCTTCTGCTGACAGTGGTCCTGTGCTCCTAACTGCTTAGGGCACCCAAAGCAGAGTGAGTCAGTGGATGGCAGCTCAGGGAGAAGCTGGACCTGGTGCATCCCTATTCCAAGTGTGCTTAAAACAAATATGGTAGCATGGAGTGGTGAGAAGGAGCAGCCAAAAAGCTTAGCTTACCTTCCCACTTTGACTGTGTAGCCTGGCGTCAGTCACTCCACCTTGCTGTGCCTCCCTGTAATAATGGAGTTTCTGTCTAGGTACCGTGGGGACACTCCATGCACAGGGTTGGCACTTGTTCCATTTTTTTCTGAGTTCTCTTTGGATCTGTTTTGGGGTCAGAGGAAAAAAAAGGGTAGAGAGGTCCCACTAATGACATAAAGGGGCCCGTGCTCACTGCTCTGTGACCTTGGGGGCTTATAATTTCTGAGCCTCAGTTTCCATGTTTGTAAATTGGGGAAAATGCCCATCTAGGACTCAGTAAAACAGTGTGAGACAAAGACTGCTGGAGATCCCATTCAGACAGAATGCTCTAAGGAAAGGGGCAGTGTCTCACAATGACTTTCCCTCTTCTAGAGTTCTTGGCTGTTTTGCTGTCTCTGTCTCCCCTGCACTTTGTTGTGGCTTCTCGGTGTGTTAGTCAGCTCTCTGACACTGCATCAAAATACCTGAGACAAACAACTTAGGACGAAAGGCTTATTTTCACACATAGTTACAGAGGTGTCATCCACAGTCACTAAGCTGCATTGAGATGGCGTTGACATCACTGGAAGAGCATCTTGGTACCCAGTTCATAGCAGAGCAAAGATGGAGACAATGAAGGAAGGGCCCCAAGGACCTATTCCCTTCAGTGAGGCCCCTCTTCTAGTTTTTAACCCTTCTCAGCAGTCCACTTCACCATGAGCTCACCACCATATTCATTGAGGCCTATGAACCCACCACACCCCCAAAGCCTGTCCTTGGGCATTGCTGCACTGGGGACCAGAACTTCAACACCAGAGACTGTGGGGAATGTTCCAAGCCCAAGCTAACCTCTCTTCTTGCTCAGTCAGTAACCTGTGACTCCCATGTCCCAACAGATCCAAAGCCCACCAACCTAAGTCTCCCAGGCTCCTTTGCCTTCTGGCTGAATGAGTTCCCTCTTGCTTTGAAATTGATCTTGGATTCGAGGAAAACTCAGCAAGCCTGTGTTCCTTGAATGTTCTCGGCCTTTCCCACTTCCACAGCTTTGCTGCCCCATCTGTCAGCATCCTCTGAGCCCACCACTCTCATCTTCCCCTGGCCCCCAGACCCAGCCAAGAGACTGTCTCAGTGAGTTAAGACTTTTCTTTCTCTTCCTCTGCCACCCAGTCTCTGAGGGTGTGGAAATCACTTCTCCCCTGTCTTATGCCCCTGGACTGCATGCATGCTAGCTTCAGGACAAAGCCTGGGTTTTTCTCCTCTGTGGCAGTGCCTGGCACATAGTAGGCCCATAATCTGTGAGATAGCAGAGTGTCTTTAAGCATAGTGCTGAACAACCACAGAGGGATGAGGTAGAATTGAACATTACTAAGCTTTCCTCTATCCCAGATGCATTGTGGGTGTCACCTCCTGTCCTCAGCAATGGTCTAGGGAGGGGATAGTCACTGGTTTATAGACAAGGAAGTAGGCTCAGAGAGGGGACATGCACAGGGCCACACAGTTGGGAGCTGTCACTGCAGATTGAAACACGGGGCTTATCTGACGTGTAACCATGTCTGCCCTGCTCTGCTGAGGTCTCAGTTTTTTTGAACCTCACACTGGTAGCATTGGCGAAGGCCTTTGGATCCAGAATGGCCTGTAGCTCCCCTCACAGAGCAAAGGTCCATGGCAGCAGCCCTGGACAGAGCCTGGACAGAGCCTCTAGTCCCAGCTACCTTTCTGAATTAGCCCACTCTGAGGGGTTGGCAAGTGGTGACCTCACCCTCCACACCAGGGTATGAGAATAGAGCTATTTGCTCTTGTGTAATTCTTGTGCACAGATCTCCAGTCAGGCCTGGGAGAGCTGTAAAGCTGTGTCATCTCATTCGGACCCTTCATTTGAGAGACAAATGGGGCTCAGAGAGGTTAGGCAACTTGTCCAAAGTCACACTGTGTTCAGAACACCCTAATGACTGTAGTCAACATGGTGTAAGCTGTGTATTCGAACCCTTAACACTGCTTCTCTCTGGAAACTGGACCATCTTCCATTTTTCTTCCTTAAAAATATATACAGAAAGGAGCTGGAGAGATAGCTCAACAGTTAAGAGCGCTGGCTGCTCTTGCAGAGGACTTGACTTTGGTTCCCAGCACC